TTATAAAGAAGAATTAGGGTTACAAAGTGATGCAATAGTAATAAAAACTAGGGTTATAGGGATATAATGATCATTCACTAATGAACATATAATTTACAACACTTCTCATTGAATAACATATTACAAAATATTTGTCTCTTTTAAATCTCGTCAAAAAATTTAATGGATCAAAACTTGAATTAAGAAAAAAAGTATACGCCAATGTCTTCAATAACACAATTTCTGGTGAATTATGTTTTATATTGTCTTGTATAGCTTTCAAATAATATTTTGTTTACGAGATTTTTATTGATTTTTGATAACTACAATCATCATGATTTGAAAAATAGCTCCTATTGTTCTCTTTAGAAGTCCCATACATATAAGAATATTATTTTGAAGGTAATGTCATATAGGTTATAGACTTTATTACACAAAGAATATACCTCATTAAAGGCCTACTACCTCATTAAAGGCCTACTAGGAAAACCTCGTGGAAAAAATTCTAATGAAGGAAAAAAGAGCATATTATGCTTTTGAATATGCTTCGAAAGTTGTCTCATTAAAAACCTTGCCAAAAAAATCCAATGGAACAAAGCCCAGGTCAAGGAAAAGATAGTACTATACGTATTTACTCTCTTTTACGATAATAGCACTTATATTTTATGATTCGCACATAAAATTCTTCAGGTATAATAGTAAAAACATAAAAGATAAGTGGGTTATAATCACATTTGTTATATACATATCAAATTTCATGCATTATTTAGGCTAACAAGATAGAGACTTGTGATTGCATTCACCCCAGGATAATTTATTTATTTTTATTTTGCAAAAGTATACATCTTTAGGTGTTCAGACCGTAGATTCGAAATGCAGGTTTCTCTAACAGATTCAGTTTACTAGAATTGCGTCAATTTATTTGGCCAATCATTTTTTTTGATTGATATTCTTCAATAGTTTATATCGATGTCTTCATTATTTATAATATGAAGCCATATGTCATGTACAAAAATATTGTCGACAACTTTTTTTATTTTCAATTCTATTTATTTCTCATAAAGATATAACTTATTTAAATATCTCAATTTTCAACATTTTAGGAACTGAACATTTGCAAGGAATTTACATTTTATTATGTCTACATACTTTCCAAAAGTATATGCCTTCTAAATGGAACAATCTTCATTATATGCTCCATTTCTCTTTTGATGATTTTTGTCTTAAAATCGAATGTGTTCACGCCTCAAGCGTGATATAGATATATCAGATACAATTATAACAAATCGTCCTTCCAAAACATCAATTTGAGTTGGAGTATTTTAAAGCTGGTGTGAGAGATATTATTAATCTATGTGGTTAGTAAATGTTTCTAAGTGAATTATTTTTTGAACTTCAGATTTGAATTGTCTTTTGCAAAGATCTAAATCATATAATGGTGTATTTGCACATTATTTCCAGTTTCTAAACTACTATCCCTAATGTTGAGAGAATCGTCCAATAAAATTGACATTAGCAAACTACATTATAAAATATACTCATTTAAGATAAAACTACGTATTTATTTAACATTTTTTACTTTCCATCATAGTGTGTTATGGTGGATCAATTGTACATATATTACTCTATCAAAGTATTTAGATGAAAAAAATTAGGCTCTAACAATAAACCGAATATAGAGGGGAAACATTTGATGTTTGCATGATGCTGACAGCATTCCTTAGACATAACTGAAAAGCACTTTATTTTCAATAGTAATGATTTATGAATTAATTTGGCACAATTAACAAATAATATTGTTTACTCGTTCAATATAATCCCGACTAACACTTATTAAAATGTTGAGATTTAAGCCGCCTGCTAGTATTAACAAAACACACCATCTTGATTACATAATTTGAATTTGCTCTTAATTTAAAATTTGAGCAGCAATTTTACAAACTTTAGATTACGAATACCATACAATAATCAGGTAGATGTATCCCATCTACTAGATACAAATAATATCTAGATGGTCAATGTGGAGGGTAAAGGGCCCCATATATCTCCATAATTATTTTTCAAAACATATAGGAAATTTAGTTCTTATTTTAGCTAGTGAGTGACTAATTATTGATTTTCATTAAAGAGAACAAACATTATAGAGGAATTTTTTGGTCTGGTTCTTCATTGAATGCTCATTTAGCATTATTATTGATGTAGTGATAGTCTAATTGGATATGTCAAACACTAAATTATAAGAGTTATTGAACATCTAATCCAATACAATGTTTATCAAATTGATCGCTAGAGTTTATAGTGCACCAATTAAGAAATACCATTAAAAAGCTTGTAGATTTCTCTTTTATTTAATGAAGAACAATTTACTAGCAATAGTAAGTTTGTCTATTCATATCACACAACATTCTTCGGAAATATTGATATATATAAACTTTTGCTTCTTTAGAAGCAATTTAATTAAAATGATAATTCTCTAAGATCAATACAATATTACATTGAAATGTCTAAATAGTTGTTGGTGTCAAAACTCACAAAACTAGCTCGGATTTACCCTAATTTAAGAATGAGAGCTCGTGAATATTCAATAGTCACTTCAAGGAGGATAGGCAAAAAGATCACCAAGTCAGTTTGACCTATGAGCTCTACTAAGTCAAGTTAGCTCGGCCAATAATATGTCAGCTTGCTCTATGTTCCATGTTAGGTTAGCTTGGCTAGTAACATGTCAGTTCGGTCTATGAAAGGGTTCACTCTCCATGTTAGATCAGCTCGATCAGTAAAATGTAGCTTGGTCTATGACAGGGTTCGCTCTCCGTGTTATGTAAGCTCGGCTAGTAACATGTTAGCTTGCTCGATGGCAAGGTCCGCTTTCCATGTTAGGCTAGCTCGATCTATGAGAGGTCTGCTCTCCATGTTAGGTTAGCTCGGCCAGTAACATGTCAACTCTCCATGTTATAACGGCCATACCGTCGTCATTTAGAAAACACAGTCATTGCTTTATGACACTTGTGCCTTATCCATGACATCATTTCTTCTCATGCGGCCATTCTCATAACAACATGTGGCACTCATGATAATTGTGCCTTATTTTCAACCAATCAATGGCTTGCAATGATTACTCACCAGCCCGACATCATCATGAGCTAAGTATACCGACCTCAAAGAACCAATCAAGAGCTAAGGAAGGCATGGACAATGACACACGATTTAAGGAATGCATTGTAGATAACCTATATTTGGAGGCCAATTTTCTGTTTTGGGTGCCTATAAATATGGCCAAATGGTTTCCCAATGGGAGGAGGGGAGGACGACATACAATACACATTCTACAAGCTTTCTTTTTGATAAAAATCTTTCTCTTTTTTCTACTATTTCAGCAATTTCCTCATATAAATCATTAATTAAGTTGACAAAGATTAACCCTGTCATTTTTTGACGTCAACAATAGTGATTCTTCATAAATAACCATATAGTATTCTTCAAGAATATTAATAAATATAAAATCGTACTTCTTTCAGAGCAACACAATATTCTCCTAGAATATTTAAATGTTTGAAACGTGTTTCATTCCATGATAACATCCGATTATTTTTCTAGTATATTAATTTTTAATATAAAAAGCATGCTTCTTCTAAAGCTATAGGTCAATATTCGTTTGTAACATTGAAATTATAGTATCAAACTCTTCTAGAGCAAATAATATTATTTTAGAATACTAATAAAGTTGTGCTATTTCAAGAACAACAATGAACAATTTAGAAACATTAAACTCTTCAGGAGCATAGTTTTTAGTAGAATGNTATATATATATATATATATATATATACACGTGTATATATAGGTATATATATATATTACCTTTCACCGACTTTGTTTGTAATAAGAAGATGAATAAAAATTGATGTTCCTTTTGAAATGCAGATGAAGTATTGCTGCCCTTTTCATTTCTTCATAATGAATATTAGAATTTGAATTATGAAAAAAAAAGCTATCTTACTGATAACGCGTAGTAAAATAGAGATAAAAGAGATGCAAATAAAGAAGTCAATAGACTTCGTGCGTATTTCATTGAGAACCTAAACTCTATATTTATAAGGAAGAATTAGGATTACAAGAAATACAATAGTAATAAAAACTAATGCTGCAGGGATATGCTGGTCATTTACTAATAAACTTATACTTTACAATAATCATATGATTATTCTATTTATTTTCTATTTTGTATTTTGTATCAAAGACCCTTAAACACAATTCATGATCCCTAATTTCACCATGTATGAGCTTAAGGAAGGGAAGAAGTTGAATTCCATGGTCTTTGGCTCCTTTACGCCTTATTTCACAAGGAAAAATCATTAAGCTTATATACAACAAACTATTTATTTTTCAATTAGGGCCGGATCCAGGATGATAATTCAGTGAGGGCGAAACCAAAAAAGCATAGAAAAAAACTTGAAAAACCTCTAAAAACCTCAAGAAAAAAAAAATTGAAAATTGAGTGGGGTCGACCGACCCCACTCAGCCTCAAGTGAGTCCGCCCCTGTTTTCAATATACTTGAAGTCGACTAGAATCGTTTTTCATGAGAACATGTATGAAAAATTAATGGGATTACTCAACCCTGTTTTGATTGATAGTTATTCTTTGCAAAACTGAGTAAATTGTCTAATACACAGAAAAATGAGGATTACTAGTTATTTCATGACACTGGGGGCAAATCAAGTGTGACCTTCAACTTTTCGACCACTCATTTCATCACCTCTTATTAAAATATATTAAAAATCTGATTTTAATTCCATGCGTAATCCAATGTTTATAAATATAAGTTAAAATTTCATCAACACACATAAAATTGGTGTCTGTAACCACACATTAAGGTTATATTGTAAAATGTATTCAATAAAATTTGTATCTATATCTCTAACCATGCACCAAAGTTCTATTTTAAAAACATTCATTACAGTATAACATGATAAATGCCAAGCTAATATAATATTTTCTTTTTATTTAGAAAAGTGCAACTGTTCAACCTAGTCAATCCATGGCCAGTTCACCGGGTTCTATTCTAGTTTTTAAACATCTAATTTTATAGGGTATACCTGAGCTGATTCTCGGCCTCGATCACAGTGTTTCTTGTTCTCAGTCGAGACAGTTTTCATTCAAAACTATGGATTTTGCGAGCACTAAAGCTTGTATGTAGTTATTGTTTCAAGAAAAGGATAAACACAGTTGGTTTCAATATTTACAAATTCTAAATAGCGTCCACCAGAGGCTATAGCCTTCTGCAGGGACGGGAAATGCACGAGCATTACGTAGAAACAATGCAATTCTCCCACTTGCCATATGTTGAATTAAAGTCGCTGCCTCCAAATTTCTGTACGAACTCACGATATACTTCACGAGCACAAACATCCCAAGTTTTGGCCATTTCTTTTAGGGAGATAGGCTGGGAAAATTTCCGCAGCATTAAACTGAAATTTGACTTCGCTTTCTTCCACAGAACTTTAACTTCTTCAGCTTCACTGTATATAAATTTGGTACCCCCATATCAATTTTCGTAGTCATTAATATTCATTGCTTTTGTGAATTATTAACTCAAACTAAATAATAAACTAGAGATTTCTCACCTACAACCGGGAGGCAATCTTTCCAGGATTACAGGAGAAGAATTAGGATATTCGGCAGTCACAAGCAGTTCCACAATCAGGTTTGAAAACTACAAGACATAAAGAGTGTACATGTGAACAAATTTTGGGTTATGAGTTGTATAGTAAAAGATCCTTAAAGAGTGTGTTACCATTTGCGTAGAAGCACTGAGCATTTTAATATTCCCATTGCATTGAACAGCATTATATAAGCATCTAACGACGGTTCCCTCAGCACGGGAAACATCTTTCACCTCTACAACATCCACCACCGTTTCAATAAGCTTGTGGTTGATTTCTCTGATTTCTTCAAGTAGCAGATCATTAGGCTGTATTAAGGCAATAAAAGATGGATGAGAAGAAACCAAAAGGAACATTTAATGAAATAGCAGAAATGATAGCAATTCTTCTACTGCAGGAGAAACATTAGTGAAGTTTTTCAATATCAGACTTCCTGGAATCTAAACATGAAATATACTATACCTCTTTTTTTAGTCTCTTGATCCTAGATGTTGCATTAAATTCCACTTGAGATGTCTGGCCACTTTCAAAATCAGCACTTCTGCAAAAAGCAGATGTCATATCATCAGCAGATATGGCCCTTAGTTGCCGCTTCATCCTTGTCTTCACGCATAACATGTCGAATTTCCCTTGTTCACAAGATCTAGTATCATCTGCCAAATCCTGGCCAATGATCCATCTTGATCCACATTGAAGAATGCTTCCAGGTTTCCTGTCGATTATACAGGTGACCGCATTGATATCCCGTACAGAAGCATGTAATGCTTTTCGTGACATTGACTTGACCTTCAACATGCAAGTGAATTAAATGTCATATGAAATACACAGAGATCTAAAAATCCACAGTTACAAACAGTACTGATAATGGATATCTTTGACGATAATAACTTTGCATTGAATTTTTAGCATCTAATGGATTGACATATCTTGATAATGTTAGCTATATAACACCTATGTTGGACATTAATCAAACTTTCCTCAAGGTTCCTAAAAGTAAATGATTTACGTAAACTTGATTTAAGTCATTTGACTTTATCTGTTTTTTAGCCACATCACAAATCTAGTTCTTCTGAGTTCTGTCCTCCCTCGGCATCATATTTTATCCTTTGTCTCTTTTCTGACTTTCTAATTATTCTATACAAACAAGATTGGAAGCTAAATTCCTAAACCTTAGTATTTAAAAAAAATTGTTTTTAACCCTTATCTTCTCCTCATTCTGGAAAATATCAAGTTTAAAACACATATTGACAACAATAACCAACTAACACGACTACACGATTGAAGATAAGCAATTCAATACATTCAAGTTTGCAGACACAGACTTCAATGGAAGTGAAAGTGTTCAAAGAGAAGAGTATTCAACAAACCGCTTCAACTAATCGCTGCACTGGGTCGGCTTTAGCACGTGACTGCTGATAGTCAACTGGACATGTAGACTCTGTGAGCAAAGGAGACTTCGGTAACTCCTGTGAAACAGAGACAGGGACTTGATTTTCACTTATGCTTTGTGACTGGAGCAACGACAGTTCAATAGGTGCCTGAGTAACTTTGTTTTTCTCTTCAATGGATAGTGGACTAAAGCACACAAGAATCTTCTCTTGATTTGTTGGTAAAGAAGATGGAGTTACTGGGGTCAGAGGAGAACGAACTGCAGACAGTGAGGCAGTGGATAGCAATGGTGTTGTAGATCTGGAATGTTTGGACGACAAATCCTTAAGCTCAAACTGTGTAGAGGAGTGTTGAGAGCTTTGAGGAGAAGCTCCCTGGTAAGGGGCAGAACTCAACTGCAACAATGGTCGATACTGTTCTAAATGTTGGCCCGATGAGTGATGCTTCACTAGCATTCTTTGATTGAATCCTGCAAACTGAGCCATCTTTGTCTCTTCATTCATTTTCTTTACCATCTGGTGCTTGTTTCTTTCAGTCAGCATCTGCTGCATAGGTCGCTTCAGGTTCTTCTGCACTGTTAGGTTTTGATCTTGTCGCCTGTTATGCTGAGATGCAGTCACAGTGGGATTTTGAGTAAGGGACCTGACAGTAAAATCTAAATTATTGAAGCTGTTCCCAGGCGAGGAGGTAAGCATCTGTTGAGTGCTAAACGTAGTATTGTGCTGAGGAATTCCAACAGAAGAAGGGGGCAACAGGCCTGAATCAAAACCAATTTGAGAAGGTAATGACATTCCCTGTTGTGCCTGACTAGGCGAATACTGTTGCCTAGATTTCATCAGACTACGTTGAAAAGTGTTCATTAATAACGACGAATCTGAGTTTTGTAACCCTGTCGCAGAGCCAAACTGAAACTGATTCATAGAGCTTCCAAGTGAGTTCAAGTTACCCTGCTGCATCAGTAACTGGGTTACACTTGTAGGTGTATTATTATGGAATTGATTCACTTGATTGATCTGGAGAATGTTCCCTTTTTGCTGCAGAGATTGAGTTCTTGAATGATTGCCAGATGCGTTTAATTGTTGATGGTGCTGCAGAGCAACCAGATTCTTGGTCCTACACCATTTAAGGCTCAAGACAATGTCATTTATAAATTTGTAAACATTCTCTTTGGGAGATTGCATAAGTTTAGTTTTTGGTAACTGTAGAAATTGTAATATATTTTTATAAAATAATTGATTTTTTTCAGATCTTGTTGCTGACTCTGCATCAGTTGCCTGCATCAGAGATTCAGGCATCTAACATCAGCAGCAAACCATTATGAAGAAGGTTCAGAAATAAACCAAAGTAGATGAGGTTGAATCAATTAAAATTTTAATGACGTGACCGGAAATATAAGAATCTATAAAGCTAATACCTGATGGTACGATATCAATGCTCTCTGAAATAGTATGAACATCTCAGAGGAATACATTCTATTCATCAACTGAATCTGCAGAATGAGTTACAGAAATTTATAGAATTAGTGAAGACAACCAAGTACAAGTTTGAACCACCAATCCTAAAACCCATGCAATCGGGGTGGGGAGGATTTGAATAAAGTAATCTGTAATTGTTCAATTATTAAAGACCATTTAGAGGAAAGAGAATGCAATTGTTAAAACAGCTCACAAAAAATTGGTGACGGATATGAAAAGGGGAGACAAAGAGAGTCAATGCTTGCGAGGTGAGAGAGAGGGAAAATAAATAAAGAAATGCTCAAGAAAACATTTGAAAAGCAAATAGAGCAAGAAAGCTTTAATTGATCAGAAACGTTGGATGAGATCATCAGGATTAAGCCAACGGGCAAATTCTAATATGAGGTTCCGTGAAAATGATCACATTTTATCTGGTCATTCTAGCCGATATGTAACTTGCAATTTTGTATGGGAAAATGAAAAGAGAAGAAGAAAGATAGGAGATCCTTCAGAAAATTTGAACTCTTATTTGTATAACTGATATTCAATTCAACTGGAAAAAATAGAAAATTCCTAGCCCTCTTTTCACTGTTTTCTGCTGTACGTGGCATTCAACTCCTATCTCCTATGAAAATCCTTCTACGTATAAACTTTTTAAGATTCAAGTATTTTTGAATTTGCAACAATTTAATTTACTGCTCATGTTGTAACATTTCTATCAAGATATGCTATTTCAGAATACAGACTTTTACTTCTCTACAGCAAGAGCATGAAAATTTACTGCTTAGGGGATGTTACAAGAACTAGTAATTATTATTTGTTAGGATTAAATTATTTTGTGGATTCTTCCATCCTCAGGAGAAGAGAGGACAACTATTCACACAAAATATTAAACCAAAAAAGATTCATTCAGGCAATCCATATACGTACAAGCCAAAAGAGACTGCAACAGATGGTGAAGAAAATTTAAAAAATGGACGTTCTTTATAGACAGTTGATTTCATTGGTTAGAAAATTACCTGCTTGAAGACTGGATTAACCCAATCAGTGGAATTTGTCAACATGAGTTGGGAAGTGGACTCTAATTCTGTTTCAAAAGAGAATATTGCAACATTAGATATATTCATATAAAAGAAAAAGCTGTAAAATGCATGTTTTACTCATACATCAATAAATGTGAACAGCCAAAAAAAGGGGTAAAAGGAAGGAACTAGATTGGACAATACTATAAATACAAATCCAAACAGAAGTTCAGTTGTTAAGGAATTGTACGCCCAACCAAATTAGATTCAATTAATATATTCTAATAAATAGAGGAGCCGATGAGCAACATGTCCACTAAATCTAGTGGATTTTCAAATCACGAAAGTGATCATTATATTTATTTGTTGTTGAAATATAAGTTTTCCCACTTATGACTTCAATTTTCTTTTAAGAGATAGTAAATTTAAATGCAACCCGCATTCATTTTCTTGGGTAACAATTGATAAGATTTGAATCAACAAGCCCTCTCATCAGTGTTTTTGAAGAGGAAAAAAAACACACAAACACACACACACACAAAAACCAATTAAAAGAATGAATTGAATCTTTGCTGCTCTCGTGTTTTCTTTTTTAATGTCTTCCTAGAAATAAAAATTCATGTACAGTGCACACGTACTGGATCTAGAAGTTCTCAATGTACCTTGCAAAAGCCCAAGAAATGCAGTTTGTAATTGTTCTACCGGCTTCTGCTGATCAACTAGCATAGGATTTGGTGGTACACCATTAGTCCCTGCATCACTCAGTGTTTCCAATGAGTGCCACATCTGCATAGGTTTAGATATCTGCTGCAAACTTTTCTCTGATGTCATTTGACCTTGATGCTTAAGGACATTGAATTGTTCATGATGCTTCATTGTTGAAGAATCTAAATGATATCCATTCTTTTGCTGTTGTTTCTGCAAAACAAAACCAGTATTCTGTTTCTGCTGGAGAAATGATAATTACTTAATCACGTTAAAATTCAAATCAAACTGGGCAGGAGAGAGACAAGAGAATCATTTGTCCCAGCCAGACAGGATGACACAATTCTGACTCCACTGATAATGTAGAAAAAGAGATACCTGTACAGGCCACTGCTGTATTTGATTACTATGAGAGATATTGAATTGTGCTGACAGTGACCGAGTATTTGGGTGTGCTGTGTGATTATGGAATTGGTGCTGATTTGATTGTGAGACAATATTACATGAAGTCTGACTCTGAGAAAATTCTGCATATATATTGGGCAAAGTACTTCGTTGCGAACAATGTGCTAGTGAATATATCATGTTATCTGTAAAAAAAGGTACATAAAGTTACATGATTCTAAATTAAGATGTGAAATTAAGAAATGACTTTAAAACTGAAGAGCTGGGATGTTAGATGATCAGACTTTCGTTTTATTTCATGGAAATTTACATTATAAATGACATATCTAAGTTGTTTTGCATGAAGGGCTATCCTTTGTATCATGAAGAAATTCTATCCATCATATGATTTGAGAATGCTTAATCACATGGCACTATGGAATTCCTCTCTAAAATCTCCTGGTTCATGGCTTTACAAGTGAAGGAAGAAACCAAATAGTGACCTGAAGAAATTTTAAGAAGAAAGGAATATAAATACAAGAAAAATTAGCACGTCATATTGAACGAATGTTAAAACCCTGTTGGAATCTCTGTTATGAACCAAAGGTTGTTTTTCTAGATCAAATGTATTCTTTTACTTCAAGAAACTGTACCACTTTTTATTTTTAGCTAGATTATAGGTTTGCAACACATGAGGAGCATTGACCAGGCAAAATTAGCATGCTATCATATCAGTTTCCTAATGATATTCTCTTTTGTGTCAGTCCAGTTTGCAACCAAGTTTCTGAAGTAAATATTATGTTTGCTTCTTCTTGATATCAATGTTCTCCTATGCATTTATATTTCTCTTTTTTCATAGATTCATCAAGGACCATAAAAAGTTAAGCAGAATTGTATTTGTAAAATGGTTCACATATGAGATTCTTAATGATATTTTCTTTTGTGTCTGTCCAATTGGATACCGAGTTTCTTTAATAAATAATCTGTTTGCCACTTGTTGATAGACATGTTTCCCTTTTCATTATATTGCTTCTGTCATTAATCCTTTGAAACCATAGAAAGTTAAACAGAGATGCATACTTAATGGACTCAATTCTATTACTACTCTTTTCAGTATGTCAAAAACTAGGAAGAAATTTTACATCTATATCAGTGCAGCAGTTATAAAATTAGGTTAGTGGCATGGGAACTTAAAAATGAGAAATATAAAAATCTTTCCTTTAATTTATTCATAAAAAAACTCATCAACTCTAGAAGCTGAACAATATTATTTTGTTCAAGAGTGAATTCTTTGAGCAAGTAAAATCTCATGCTATGACTATCAGACAGTACAACTCAACTCCCTCAAAAGATTGGGACAAAATGTGCAGAATTATTAATTTTTTAGTAAGATATATGAATAAAATACTTCATTATTTAATTTTCATAGGCCAATGTTTTTATTGTTACCTGAAGCAGAGTCCATAGGCTTCCAGTTCCGGCTAATGAGGGGCATAATATCTGACTGCCAAAAGATAATGTAAAAACTAAGTTATAAACGGCTAAAGCCATGAAGAAATGTTGTGATAAGTGAAAACATAAATATGAAGCAGTTGTGAATGGAGAATTTCATCTTCCTATGCTATGTACAAATTTCAATCATGCATCGTAATCCAATTATTATTCAAATAGAAATTAATAACATAGCCAAGAAATGTTACAGAAAATTATCGCTAACATTTTGTTTGATAAGAAAATAAGTCTAAAAATGTTTGATAATAAGGCTAAATATTACTTCCTTCAAAGGATCACAAGTTTGACATTTCATGGCCATAAAAGTTCTGTTCAAACAGAAGTTTTGTAATTCTGATATCAATCACTACAACTATGTAAATAAATACGAAATATTTCATTGATTTCAATTAAAGAAAAAAAAAATCATGATCTTTGCAAATGAGCTTAATGAAGTACCATCATAATTTTCATATAAAGTAACCTCTTTTAATCCTATCAAGTTAGGTCACAAGGAAAATCTGTATCCATCATGTATCCCGTTTGTTCATCACCCCACTCTTTATGGTAGCCTGCGTCACTAACACGCTGACCTTGAATGTGATGGTTTGATACCTCAGGTGAGTTCCAAACGCTTATCCCAAATACTGTTTATAGAAAAGTAACGACGTGTCTTTCTCTCATATGATTTGAAGTTAAAGTATATATACTTGGTTGAGAAATTATTTACTCCAAGTATTTCCTAATGTCAAAGTTTTATAAAATATCTATGGCCTAATAGTAGCTCAATATTTTATGAACATCATGCACCTTTCTAGAAATGCAGGACACTTCTACCAAATCAGTATCCTAAAAATATTGTAATGTGACAAACAGCAACCTACATAGTTTTAGAGATTTCTTCTTCCACCAAGCGTAGACATTCTAAAGTTCAGTGCTCATTCTTTTATAGCTCTAAAATCGTACTTTATGAGAGTTATCAGTTATCATTAGAAGGAAAACAACAACATACTAAAGCTTCTTTCAATAAATTTGGGGTTTGCTACTTGAATCCTAATTAAGACAAACATCTCTCCACATATCTTCTAAAATATATGGGTGTGCTTATGATCCACTAAATTCATCCTTAATAGTTGTTGCTTCTCTGTGGTAAATAATAGTTTAAAATTTCCCTGATATGTCCATTTGATCTTGTAAAAACATCCTTTATCGTTTTACCTTCTCCGTGGTTAAAATCAACTAATTCATAGTTCTAAAATTTCTCTGATACTTGAAGCATATCTAATTGAAAAAACATTTCTCAGTTATCCTAGGTGGAAAAGATCAATCTAACTCATATTGTGTCTACAACAAAAGAACCTTAAATAAATACATTAAACTGATGGCAAGGGACAATGATCATAAGGTATGACTAAAAACACCAAAACAAAATTAGAGAACAGATGGAGAAAACAAGGTACCTGTGTTGCTGCAACTTGATGGTTCTCCAAGTTCACTGACTTATTCTCTTGATTTAGATTATTTAAGTTAGATGATGACCCAGGCACCCCCTCTTTCCTCATTCTGCACATGATAACAAGATGTTCTAAGTCCTTATCATTATATTCTGTTCATCAGCTATATTAGGAAAACGCTTCACACGGAACAAACAAAAATATCAAAAAGGAAAGAGGGCAAAAAAAATCAGAACTATAAACTATAAGGCTATCAATTCTTGAAGGGCTACATGAAGGACAGAAAGAATGACGAGTAAAAGAGACGCTAGGTTTGTTTGATTATGATTCTTTGAGTCAAAATCCTTAGAACTTCAAGTTAAAATTCATTCCTAGAGAACTTATCTTTCTTATTATGCTAACTGTGAAAGGTTCCAACATTAGTTAACCAACTCTAAAGGTCAAAAACTCATTTGAAAGCATAGGCTGAGATGATATAGCAGTGGCTGAGAGTAAATACTATTTCAAGATCCCGGACCTTGGGCATCTGGGTGAGCAGAATTATTAGCAAAACATTCCATTAGCTATGTAGACTCGAACAAAATTTTCACCTCTTATAATGGTAATTGGTAAATTGCCCTCTTTGTAACAAAATTTACATCTATATACGGACGAAGCTAACTCTTTATCTCTCAACATCCATATTGTCTTATGTGTAACATGTAAGGAAAATTTCTTAAGTAGACTAAGTCATTCAAGATGAACGACATATGGCACGTAAAAATATGATCAAATCAACTAAAAATTGGACCATAAAAGTTCAATAAAGCAGGCTCTATTTTGTTTAGAAAGATCTCATCTACAAATGACTATCCAATTTAAGAACATGCTATAAGTTTATTGATTGCGTAAACCATGTATATTCACTTCATTTAGATTCACATCAATTTTGTTAATGTGCTGATACTGCCTATCATTTCACTTTTATCAGACGTGAAATGGACATATTTTGGGGTGTGGGGAAGAGTTACTCCATGCTTGATGTCTACTTTTGTCCTCAATGGACATATCTAGGAGGGCAGGGAGGGAGGATTCCATGGCCTGGTATCTACTTTTCTCCCCAGAAGAAGACAGACCTTTGGCATTCTAACAGAAAGTCGTAAACTGAATTTGACACTTGCAATTTGAAAGGCATCTACATATGTGACTGACCAATCTCTGTTTGTGTTTATAAGGTTGCACCTTACAAGGTCAACCAATCTTGATAAACCAAGAACTGAGTTTCGCTTTGCCAAAGATCCTCCCGCACTGGCAGATGGGAAGAATCAGTTCGTCCGTCATAATTATCTACTACTTAAACATAAATTAGCTGAATAGTTTAATATCTAACAGCAATTCCAGCAATCTAACTACTAGGTATGTGGCAAATGGAAAAATAATAGGACCAAATTAAAACAAAATATAAAATACTGTTGACAAATCCAAAACACCACGAAAGTACGGTAAAATCTGGAGCTCAACATGATGCCAAAAAAGAACACTTCAAAAATCCACGGCCCAACACATCACAACAAATTAGTTAATAATTTATTTTTCAGCTGAAAACCAGCAATCCAACTTCGTCACAACGCTGGACAAGAAAAAAATTATTACAGATAATGTGAATCCTAAACTCGGCATAAATACTGGGATTGTAAAATTAGAAAAACTTATATTTACATTTGCTACAGTCTACATGCACCTAATCAGAAATCAACAAAAGACAGACATGAAATAATGGCATATGCAAATTAGCCATAAACCAGGCTAGATTATTTTACATTACTGGACAAGTCAGAGCTGAAATTCACATCTTAAGCAACATGTAATCCTAACTTGGTAAAAACAAACATAAGTAATAAAGAGAACAAAAAAGAAATTCATTGCACATTCCTAAGTTATGAAGTTCAAAAGGATCTATGTCCGGGCAAGAGCTGCCATTTACTAAATGGGTCCCCTTAGGGTTTTTACACTCTCTAGGAACATAAAATCAAACACGCGAATTTATCACATCTGCAATATTCATGCAAGCAAAGATGTAATATTCCAAATCCGCATCAAATGGATTAATATACCTCAAGAAAACGAGCAAGCGATAGTCTATAATCCCTGGTGCAAAAATGGATTGATGTTAAGCACATTTCAAGATGAATCTTTTGAATTAGGAATTTTCCCCATGTAGGGGTATCATTCAGAAAAATGTTGGTTTTAAACAAATTTAATTGAAATAAATCAAGACGAAATAATAAAAAAGGAAAAGACTTACGCGGGAAATAATTTATGTAAATAGTCAAATAAAATCGAATCAAGAAGACAAGAGACCAAAGAAACAAATCTTGCTACCATCTAAATTAGCACAAAATTAAGAAGAATCAGATTTTTGTAAAGAGAAAAAATTATGCATGGATGACACTTGTAATTCAAATCAAATTAAATAAAAAGAATTATACTAAGAAAAGTATGCATGCAACGTTAATACACTTGGAATCAATATCAAATCAACAAAAAATTACCCAATATTGGTGGCACCGATAGCATCGTCGGGCAAGAGTTCTATCAAATCATCGATGTTGAAGCTGGGTTCAATTTCATTTGCTTTTCCTTTCCCATCAGCCATCGGAGCAAAACTTTTTCAAATTTTTATAATACAATACGTATGAAAATATTTTCAAGAATTGAGGATGAACGAGGTAAAAACACGATAATATCTAGATAGAAATTAAAGAAATTGCAAAATGAGATGCCGAGTGATCTCGGCGTGATTAGGTCTTTAATCTATCATATCTACGCATACTTAGTATCTATGTATGGCCCCGTATGTATGCTGTTTGGGTGACAATTTAGTACATTAAATCCGAATGTTTGTGGGTTTTTGTGTGTGTATTGCCTGTTATAGAGAGAAACGGCAGTTTCGAAGAGGAAATCTGTAGAGAGGGTACGTTATGTCATGGGAAATCTTTAAAGTCCCTATCCCCAAACCCCAGATGAAGTTGATGAATAATGCTATGAATAAAGATTTTTTTTACAGAATTTATACAGAAAGACATTTGTCTTTTTGTAATTGGTTATTATCAAAAACAGTTTTTGACAAAATCAAATCACAGGAAGACAAGTGTCTTTCTGTACCAATTCTGTTAAGAAAAATCTATACTTGCAGATTAAATGACCCTGGATCTTGTTATTTTTTAGAGAAACCCCTCCCATACCAATACCATAAGTTTATCCATCAACAAATTTATATGTCACACTCTGAATGTTTAATATAAGATGAGCACTGATACTCCAATTATCATGTCCAAGCCATTAACTTAACTTTGAGACAATCTAAGCTCATCTTACCTACTTTCTATTGCGTCCACAAAATTCAAACATGTAACCTCCTCTTAAAAGAGATTTAAATTGAACCCTGGTATCGATTGATATACATATAATTTACATCATAGTTTACATACACATGATATGATAAAATATGATTGTATTAGAAATTCTTCTATTTAAAAAAAATAAAAAAAAATCGTCATCGCTCTCCTTTTGATAACCCCACAATTTTATATTCTATTTGGAAATGAGTTATTGTACTGCAATTTCTTGATATTATTGAATTGGATCTGATCGGTTCACTATCAAAAGAAAAAAAAAATGCCATAATTCAAAATATACTTTTCTTTAAAGAAATCATAGATAAAATTCCATCACTCAAAGTATAGATCTTGGGAAGGCTTGATCTCGTAGATCTTCTTCAATACCTTCTTACTTAATGCTAGTTGCTAAATGAGAAATAGCGCAAGGTGGTTTGCTTGGGTCAGCCATGAAAGCCTATTCTTGTGAATTTTTCATTTTCTCGAACTTGTGATCTCAAATTATTTGAACACAATTGGCTATTTTCTATTAGGTAATTACCACCACAATTTTTGTTTATTACGTTTATTTATAATCACACCTTAATTGATATATGTTTTTATAAATATACCACAACAATTTTATAATTAATTTTTTTTTATAATAATTCGCAGCATACATAATCATAAATTTCGGGTAAAATATTCTTATTTGATGAATTCCAAGATTTTTTGTGTGGTTGAATTACTTTACTTTTCAAGTATCAGATTCTGCATTTTCTAGCATCACAATTTAAGTGGTAATTTTTGTGAGTTTTAATGTTATGTGTATGGTTATAAGCACTTCTCAATTCATGTGTATTTTTCTATATCAATTTCACACATTTTATTGCCATTTTTCTCTCTCTCATCATGCAATTACGTTGAGTTATTTCAAAATTATGGAAGTGGGGTGGGAGTTGAGAGAAATTTTGTGTTCGAATAGAATGTTTGAATTCTATTTAAACCACTCCCTCCAATTCACTTTAATAACTTGTGAGTCGGGTCACCCACTTGAACTACACATGACCAATATATTTTAAACATTTTTCACTTGCACATGACCAGCTTGAACCGAACCACAAGTGATAGCAAATATCACACATTAGATCATTCTCAAGGTCTATCTCACGAGGATTCATATGACAAATAGATCATCCAACCAGCGAATCATATCAAAGCTTGCAGTACTACAAACAGTGATATATAATAGCCCTACTAGAGGAACATTACATCTCTCTATACCCCAAACTCATTTTCGAATATTAATTCAAGTATTTTCGATCGCTCTAGTATTTATGAAATATACTTAAACCCCAAACATGAAGGTGTCTTAAATGGGTTTCCTTTCCATCCAAAGTTCAAAAGGAGTTTTTGGAACTGTCTTACTAAGAACCTTGTTTTGTAAATGCGTAGAAGTCTTTAATGCAAACATCCATAAAAAAATGGGTAAAGACGAATTTCTTAACATACATATAACCATTTCTATTAGAGTATGATTATGCCTTTCAACCACACCTCTGTTGTGGTGTGCCTAGTATAGTGTATTGAGAACATATATCACGTCTGTCAAGAAATTTAGCAAGTAGACTAGGTATTGTCCAGTTTCATCATACCTTCCATAATGTTCACCACCTCTATCAAATCTAATAATTCTTACATTTTTGTCTAATTGTCGTTCAACTTCATTGAAAAAGATTTCTAAATCATATA